GTTGGTTCGTAAGGCTGTGCTCTGGTTCTGGAGGCTGCACGTTGGTTCTGGAGGCTGCACATTGGTTCTTAAGGCTGCATGCTGGTTTTGGAGGCTGCGTGCTTGATGTGAAGACTGCACATTTGTTGTGAAAGCTGTATGTTGGTTCTGGAGGCTGCATGTTGGTTCTGGAGGCTTCATTTGGCTTCTGATAGCTGAATGTCAGTTATTTAGGCTGTATGCCGCTTGTGGAGGCTGCATGTCTGTTGTAAAGCTGTGTGTTGGTTCTGGAGGCTGCATGTTGGACACCAAGTATGGACGCAACAGAGTGCTTCTACTTGCACAGCTTTAATGTTTTTTTTTGGTTTTTTTTTGAATATTCACAATTGATTGTGAGGGAGGATCAAAGTATTGCAAAAGATTAAACATATACTTACATAAATAACCAGAAGTAACTGTTTTTCCCATGTTGGTGCGCAGCAAAGGTAACAATCCACCACGCCAGTATCTATGGAGATGAGCTCTGACTAAGAGTGGGTGGCCCTCATGGTAACTAAGAAAATGAAGAGTCCCTCAGTGACCACTTACTGCTGATGAATGCCAATGATTGATGCTATGTATATAAACACATGCAGATCAGGAACGCTCTCATTGAGGCATCTGCAGTTGTAGAGGCATATTGAAAAAGCAGATACTGACCACTGAATGTGTTTTTTGAAATCTTATCTTAGCACAGGACCTGCCTTCCATTTGTCTCTGTCTCTCCGCAGTCCTGTCATAATACCTTTCAGGAGAGTCAGGTTGAATGTGCATGTTCCCTGGTTTGGAATAGAAGGTTGTGTGGATAGATGCCTATTACACTCATTTCACTTTTGACTCAATTACATGCAGTTGAATGTCATTCATTCCAAGGCTTTGGTTCCAGCTCAGTCTTATGCTAAGTAACAAATGGCTTGTGGCAGCCGTGTATCTGTCACGCTCAGCGCGGGTGTATGTGTGTGCGTGGAGCTCATCTGTCAGAGCTGAGGCCCTTTATCTGTAGCTCTACAGTCTGTGCCTTCCAGAGCTCGTTCTGGCCAGCCCTCCTCCAGGAAGCATTTTGGTGCAGATTAGACTCTCTCAAGGAGCACACTTGAACTGGTCCCAAGCACCCAGAACCGCCAGGCTTCAGAAAGTCTATTTATGTTCATCATCATGCTCTTCAAATGCTGTCTCCTTTTGACTCGTTTCACGATTGGCTGCTTGTACAATGACACAATTGCATTTCGATGTGTTTTTGCCTCCTGAAAAAGGCCTGCTCATCGTGGTCTGCGTGTTAGTCCCATATAAAAAATGCACGCCTGTGGAGACATTTTAAATCTGCTAATGTATTCAGAGTGCATGCATTGAATGCATTGAATTGCTGACTTTGCAGAAAAATAACGTTTAAAAAAAAAAAAAGTTCAAATTTGAGGTGTGCTGAACATGTTTTGGAATTTCTTACTTACAGCAATGACAACTTTGTAAGAGACGGTCAGGAGCGCTCAAATGTGCTGCACGTTAATCCGTTTATTCAAGTCTGCAATGGGGACGAGACATAGTCTGACATTTATTCCCTAACTGATGCAAAAATATGTTTCAAATAAGGGATTAACTTTTCCCACTGATCCACTGAAGTTAAGACTGGACTTATGAGCTTTACCTGAAACATTTTCTTTCCTCTACTCAGGTTCCTTATGCTAGTGACTGCGTCCTTGAGCCAACAAGGAATTGTTTATTATGTGTGTTTGGGTGTACATAGATAAACACAAGTAATTCTCGAGCACATATATCCTTTCACAGGCTTTAATATGATCCTTCCTGTGTCCTTGGAGGAAACCCCTCAAGTTATGTGTAGTCTAAATGATTAGGCTCATAATCAGGGCTCGATCTAGCCTTTTAGGGGCAGGTTTTTTTTGGCATCCCCCTCCTCTTGGTAGCTGATGTGCTGTAAAATTAGTGTCTTACTAATTACTACAAAGACTACCACAAGCTGTATAAGTTCTATACATTTATAACAGGCTAATTTGTGAATTGCTGATAATTGGATGCTTGTTTGGGATTCTAATAGATCACAATTTAAATTACAGAGAACTTTCTAGGGTTCGGTCTGTGTGTCCTCCTTACCCAGCTAACTTAAAGTTAGCTCGATCTAACCCTGCTTCTTTACTGTTATGAATGCTTTACTTTGTATGATTTTTTTTTTTCCCCTCTTTGACAGCGACTCCTACCCTTGTTTCTGTTGATTCTCTGTTCGTGATAAACGTCAGGCTTTTATTATATCTGAGTATCTAAACCTGGATTAGTAGAGAAAATTGTTAATTGTGACTATGTTTATTAGACTTTGAAGCTGAAACTTATTCAGGAAGTCTGTCTAAGTTGAACCTGCTTTGTTAGACAGACCCCAGATGGATGACTTCTTGTTGTTCAACTATAAGCCAAAACAAATGTCATAAGTTTAATACCATAAAAAACAAAACATACCTTTATCTGTAAGCTTTTTTCTTCTCATCTTCTCTTTTTTGGCTCCATGTGCATCTTAGAAGCAAGCATCTTAGAGAGCATAATGGTACAGTAATAACCCAAAAGTTGTTAGGATGCCCCCTGGCGGCCCTGAGCAGCTGCTTATGCCGCTTATTAGGTAGAGCCAGCCCTCATAATAATCTTCTAATGTGATGTAGTCAGTGATGCAGAGTGGTGGCAGTCATTGGTATAGCGTAGTCCACAGGTGCCCTAGTGCTGGAGTACTCCCAGTACCATGGACATTTTTTTGTTTTCCTGCTTGAAAACACCCAATTCAACTCAGGAAGGTAATTAGCTGCTTATTTGGATCAGATGTGTTGGGAGCATGGAAAAGACTGAAACGTGCAGGGCAGGGGGTACTCCAGGACCAGGGTTGGGAACCAGTGGTGTAGTACATAACACTGCTGCCCTCCAAGCGTCAGACATGGATTTGAATCCCTGCCTAGTAACAGCGCCGTGCTATACCAAAAACAGTCCATGGGCAAGACTCCTAACACTTGCCTACCGATGTAACATTATTGAATTGTAAGTTGCTCTGGATAAGAACTGTGCATTGGTTCTGAAGGTTGAATGTTGGTTCTGAAGGTTGAATGTTGGCTCTGAAGGTTGAATGTTCGTTGTGAAGGCTGCATGGAGGTTCTGAAGGTTCTTTTAGGCACTGATTATGCCAGCAACCAAATAGCTTACTTATAGAACCTCAACTGATCATGTAGCATGAGAGTCAAGGCAAGGCTGAAATTTTGGTTCTAAGTATGGCTGTAATGATTACTTGATTAAAGTCGACTACTTGATTTTTTTTTAAATCACTAATTAATATATATCTTCTTAATGTATCTTTAGTGATTATATGGCAATTTGCATAATGAACATTTTAAATTCTCATCCGATGAAACAGAGCCTGGTAGATTTTGGCATATAATGTTTTATTATGTCTTTTTAAAGGCCCCCTTTTTCTACTGAAAAAACTTTTAGACTATTCATGGTTTGTAATTGTTTACCTAAGTCCATTATTATTTACTATGACCTTTTTAAAAACATTTTACATGATTAATTGTCAAAATAATTGGTAGATTGCTTGATTACTAATATTAATAATGACAGCTATAATTCCATGTAACTTTCATATTACATGCTGAATTGCTTTTAGCAGCCTCCCTCACTGCGTTAAAGACCCCAGTCTGTCTTTGTAGAATATAAAATAAATACCTAGACCACATATTAACTCTCTATTAAGAATTAATGTTATTAATATTGTACAGACAGCTTTACTGACAGGCCTGCAGTGATTTTTGAGGGCAAGATGTATAAGCAGAGAAAGTGATGTGTAGCAGGGCCAGTAAAACTGTGCTCTTTCTTCTCCATCGCTGATCTGTGTAACACACAGCAGAGTGAAAGGAAATGTTCCACCATGTTTCTCTCTCCATCAGTCTGAGTAAACACTCCAGAAAGGTTTATTCTCTTCCTCAAGGTCTTTTTTTCTTCCTCTTCCTCTCTTTCGCTTTATTGACAAAAGACATTTCACCCCACCCCATTCAGCTGTCAGCTCCAGGACAACAAACTGCTGCATGGAGGAAACGTGGTTTAGCAAAATGTAGGTGCATTAAATGGGTTGTGAGATGGAATCAATTTGCGTAAGCATTCTTTTTTTTTTGGTGTTGTCTTTGCCTGTAAAACAGGAGAATTGACTTTCAATCTGAAGTTCTCTTCACATTTTTCTGTATTGCGTGTAGGAGTATTGAGTGAACATTGATATTTTACGATCAAATTATATTTAAGTTCCCATTAATAAAGTTAATGAGCACATATTTCCTAAATGATGCTAAAGTAATATCTTACAATCTTGACTTAGCTTTTTTTGTCTGGAATGTTCTCCTAAAATTATACCAAATGGAGCCTCACACATTACTGCAAAAGTTAACCAGACAACCTGTCAGATAGGAAGCTTATTTATTTTTTTTAAATGTATTTTCAGCTTTTAAGACTATCTGAAGCACTCAGCAAATGACACACATTGGGGAATTCCACCGATTTTGAAAATTTCTGCATAATTCAGTCGTTCTGATGTGAAATGTAGCATTGTGGAGAAACTTACAAAGTAAAAAAAAAATTGTGGTGGTAGAAACCAGATGTCTGTGTTCTACCTCACAGAAAGCTATTACATGGTAATGAAATGTTTATGAAACCGCTGCTTGATGCTTGAGACAGTGCTTTACGATAGTTTTCAGACAAGGCTTTGGCCTAAAATGTAGTCCCCAAAGAAAACTTCTATTTTTTGGATTTGCCACTACTTTACCATTACCACTGTTAGATATAAAACCTCAGATGAAATGTAAAGGTTCTCTGGTCATTTTGGTCATTAATAAAGCAGCCGTAATTGCATGGTAAACATCCTGACCCCTGTTTTCTGTCAGTCACTATAAAGAAAAATTAGTCATTAAGGCAACTAAATTATTGTTCCTTTTCTATTTTGTGGCTTGCAGGACTCGGCTCAGGAGAGCGTCATCACCAGAGATATCCATCGCACCTTCCCTGCTCATGACTACTTTAAGGATTCGGACGGTGATGGTCAAGACTCCCTTTACAAGATCTGCAAGGTGAGCAGTACTGTTTCCCTTAGCTTGTTGACTCAAGTTGGCCTCTGTTTTATTGTAATAATACCTGCCGTTGTTTAATGTTTCAGTAGTGACCGTATCTATGATATACGCAGAAAAACATATTATTACAGTCATAATAACATATTGTCATATCTCCCATCCCTGCTGGACCCCTCCCATCACCCAGAATCACATCACCAGTCCTCAACCTCTGGTTTCTTCACTTTGGTTTCCTTTATTCCCCAGTCTTAATGGCGAAAAAGTACAGAAAAACTGTGCCTAAGAGAAAATATGGGTCTTGTGTCAAAAGTGGAGCCAAAAATATATCTAGGGATGTATCTGTGGTACATTTAAACAGCCTCAGGAATATGAGGAAATGTTTCAACAAATAGTTTTCTTTGTTTGGTGGAGTGTGAAGGGAAGTGGTGGTATGTAGTGTGATAGCTAAAGGGCAGTACCGATCATTAACAATAAATAAGCACAGTTGTGGGCAGTTTCACTTTACATCAGTATGAATTTCCTTGTATGTTTTAATAAAAACAAAATGTGGGTTTTTTTTAGAAAAACAGTACCGTAGTGTTCACTCCCCAGTAAACAAGCATGTATGAAAACTAAGCTGAAGTTGCAAAAACAGCCCACAGCAGTTTAGCTCCACCCATTTACACTGAAGTTATAAAGAGTGTGTTTTTTTTCTTTTTTTGTTGATTCTTGTTTTGTTTTGTTTTTTTTTTGAAAGAGGTGCAATACAAGGCAGTCTTGCATATATCAGTCTTAAAGGCACATTAACAAAACCAACCTGTTTCATTCTAAGAGATAAAGAGGTTGGAAAATGGTCATTGTAAAATTAATTATGACTACTTTTGGCAAATAAACCTATACACATGTCATAAATGGACATAGGTAATGTATGATATGGACCCTTTAAGTATAATAACTTTAAAAAGTAAAGTAAAATATCTAAACTAAAGTAAAATATCTTTAGTGTTATCTACACCTGGTTATATTAAGTCACCGGCTGCACATACGTTATTGGGAATTTATTTTATTTATTTGGATTAATTCCAATTCCTTTTGCTAAACATTTACTAGTTTAGCTTTATATCTTTATTTCTGTATGAATCATGTTCTTTAACTAGATATACTATGTTGGATGAATATTTTTAATTATGCATTGATGATGTTTTTTGTAAATTAAGTATTGAACCTTTTTAAATATCGCATCTGTAGCATTGCTCCTTTAATAAGCGAGAAACAGAGCGACAGAAAGCTTTGTTTGCTGATTTTAAATCTCCTTTGTAAGGAGTTCTTAGAAGCTCTCCATCACCTGATTGCTACTGCCAGATTAAAAGAGCCTTGAATTGCACACAGAGGCTCTTTGTTACGCTTGGATGCTGGAGCGTATTTTAGATATCTGCACTCATTTGAAGTGACTAGCATAATCAGAATGTGTCGTAACTGTGGTTTGTCAAAAAGCTTATTTCAAATTGATTTCAGGTTAACTAATTAGACTGTTTTTGTCCTGCAGGCTTATTCTGTATATGATGAGGAGATTGGATATTGCCAAGGCCAGTCGTTCCTGGCTGCTGTATTACTGTTGCATGTGAGTAATCGTTTTACTTTTCTTTTTTTTTAATTTTGAACCCTTTAAACTTTAAGGATCCATGAGCATACACTTCAGTTCCTCACTCTCATAACTACATAGCATACAGATTAGATTCTTGCAGTTAGTGAATGATAATTAATAATAATTAGGGGTTTATATAAGGAGATAGTGGAGGAGAGCATTGTGACCGACAGAAAAGTATGAATAAAATGAAGCAATACGGAATTAAAAGAAGGATATTTCAAAGCAAAGCATGAGAAAAGGGTTTGGATGGGCTGGGGGGAGAGACGTTTTGAGGAAGAGAGGTTTTGAGGACTAGCAGAGGAGATAATGCACTGTATATATTGACACTATTGACACTGTTACTTAAAGACCTAAGCAAGCTTTCCTGAATGAATTTGAATTATAATGTCAAACATTTGAGGTGTTATGAGCATTTCACCTCTGAGAGAAGCTTAGCCTGTGTCTTACAGTGGAAGTGGGCATTAGTGGAGGCTTCTTTATGCAGTATAGCTCTGTTAGCACTCGGCCTTGCCCAGGAAGCCCAGGAGGCGTCAGGAATATTAATGACTTGGACTGTCTACCTGCAGGAGCCCATTCAGTCCTGGACACACACGCTGTCTCTGTGATTTAATACCCACCTTAGCCCCCCTCTCCCCCACCCCATACACACACACACACACACACATACACACACACACACACACACACACACACACACACAGAGTCTACAGCTCTGCAGCTGACAGAACACAGACAGATGTTTTCCACTGGGCCTGTGGCAAAAATACTCACTCACCACATTATGATACTCACTCACATACAATATGATACATCTCTCTCTTTCACTCTTTTACTCTCTCACTCTTTCCTTGAGTCTCTCGAAGAACCTCTTCTCAGTTTCTCAGTTCTCTCCCTCTCATGCACAAGTCCTTATATAACACCTCTCTCTTGCTCTTTCTCTATTTCTCTGTCTCTGTCTCTCTGTCTCTCCCTCTGTCTCTCCTGCTCTCTCTTTTCTCTCCTTTTCTCTCTCTCTGACTCTCTTCTCCCTCTTTCTCTCCCTCTGTCTCTCTCTCTCTTTTCTCTTTCTCTCAATTTGTTTTTCCCACTTGCTCTGTTCTTTCTTCTTATACTCTCTCTCTGTCTTTCACTTTTCTCTTTTCTCCCTTTCTCTCTCTCTTTCTCTCTCCATTTGTTTTTCCCACTTTCTCTGTTCTTCCCTCTTATGCTCTCTCGTTCTCTCTCTCTTTCTCTCTCTCTCTGTCTCTCTTTCCTTTTTTCCCCTCTTTCTCTCTGACCTTGCATCTTTTCTGTTCTCTGACTTTCTCTCTCTCTCTCTCTCTCTCTCTCTCTCTCTCTCTCTCTCTCTCTCTGTCTGTCTCTCTTTCTTTTTCCCCTCTTTCTCTCTGACCTTGCATCTTTTCTACTCTGTCTTCCTCTCTCTCACCCTCTATCACAGACACACTCTATCATAACATTGTGTCTTCCACTCTCTCTGTCCTCTCACCTCTATCTCATTCGTCGTCTCCATCTCTCCATCTAACCTCTCACATAGCTGCTCTTATCTTTAAACGCCTCTGAGAACTTCCGTCCCGTCTCAGTAGCTGATAGATTTCTGAGCACTTCCTCTGTAGACCGAATGGAGCACTCAGAACCTGAGTGAACTACACTCACATTTCAGCTGTTAAATGTTTATCTACTTAACAAACATTTAACAGGTTTGATTATTAAAATATTAAAATTCTGATGATTTAAAGTTTGCTTGGCGTATTGATGTTGAAGCCAGTGTAGTAGCCGATTCTATAAGAACTACTGTTTTCTGCAAAGAAATTACAAAACATATTCTCTTACTAAATTTATGTGTGTTCATGGGGACCAGATGCATTTGTGAGTTTTCTCCCCAGAGCTTAAACATGCTGACTTGAAAAATGTGGTAGAGAAATGATGAGCACAGCTTGTGTGTTTGTAGATGCCAGAGGAGCAGGCCTTCTGCGTGTTAGTGAAGATCATGTATGAGTACGGACTCAGGGACCTTTACAAGAACAACTTTGAGGATCTGCACTGCAAGTTCTACCAGTTGGAGCGCCTGATACAGGTTAGCACAACATCAAGGCCATCACTGCCAACTGTATTATTGCTTGAGTAAGATAATGCTTATGTTTAATTATCATTTGGGTTATTAGATTTTTTTTAAGGCTGAGCATGACTGTATATGTGTGTGTGTGTGTGTGTGTGTGTGTGTGTGTGTGTGTGTATATATACATATATCCAAAAAGGAAAATATGAATTATTTATATATATCGCTGCTGTCAGAAGAAAACCTTGTATCTCCATTTTTGACGTTTTTCAGTTTTTGACATAATCTGAAAATGCCTGCTTCCCTTTACAAATTTCATGACGAATGGACCACAAGAAACAGCCCAAAATGACTTGGGGAAAAAAGTTTGGTTCCACTGACTTACATTAAAAGTAGAGTATGTTTTTTCCTTCTCCTGTAAAGTTACTGTTTTTGAGATACAAGGTTTTCTTCCGACAGCAGCGATCTAAATAAAGAAAATATTTGGAAATACTTTAAACTAGGGCTGAGCAATATAATAATATATTCTCGCGTTTCACCTGATGTCACACTGTATAGTCGCCACCATTTTGAGGACCAAATCAGGGAGTGACTGTGCTGCGTGATGCCTTTAATTTGCTGTGCTTTGTCAATGATTCATCTACAAGACGCGACAGAAGCCAATGACGAGAGACACACAGACCTTTAATTCAGTGTTTTCAAACTCCAGACTTGGAGCCCCTGAACTGTATAGTTTAGTGTTTCTCTCTGCTGTTCGCATCTCGTTCAGCTCAAGAAGGGATTAATTGGCTAATTATATCAGGTATTTTAACCAGGCAAACCACAGTTATGCAGTGCAGGGGTTGCAGGACTGGAACTGAACTCTGCACTAACTGCACTAGCAAACTCACAAAACCATGTCTGTCAAAACACATCATAGTTTTCTGACCCACAACATTCAGTCTCATATTTAACTTTTATGTTTCTATGTTAAAACATCATTTAAATCTCCAGAAACAGAGAAGTGAAGTTATACCGGCTGTCTGCAGCTCCGTTAGGGGGACGACGTTCATCTCTCGACTGTTAACATTAGCAAAAGTTATCTAAAGGCTAGCATTGTTCACATCTGTGTTAATTAGCTGATGTGGCCTTAGCCTCCTATGATGAGTTTTTCTCCTCTTTAGCCACCATGGGATCCTTTACCCACCCTAACGTGAAGAGCTGATGGGCTTCTGTGCTTTTAAATGCTTTGAGAGACTCTCCAGAATAGGGAGAGGGTTTGTGTATGAGAGAAATATATAAGTTATGTCAGAAAAACACAAATTTGGTGGTTTTCCACCAGTTTAAGTGGAACCAGGAGTTCGGGGGAAACTGTAAAAGGGTAGCAGCCTAATTTTAGCCATCTTTCACCTCTAGTAATGTTCGTGCGGAGCAGGGAAGCCGGAAATTCGTCTCCATATATGGCGGCCACAACAGAAAAATCATGTGACTGAAACCCTTGGATACCATTATTGTGATCAGTTATGTCACAACACAATACAGAATGCTTTTCTGAACATATTGTGCATATCCTCAGTACTTGCAGAACACTGACCAACTGCATGTTTCATTAAAGAAAGCAAAATTAGTCCTGTTTAACTGTATTTAGTGCCACACAATATGCCATATTGTGAATAATTAATAAAATCATTGTATTAGATTTTGGTAGTATTTCTTAAAATGTAGCACTACTGCTTATTTTTTGTTGGTTCCAACTGATCAGATGTCTGAAAAAGTAAATATTGTATCATGTATTGTGAATTTTTTTTTTTAAGTATCACAATATTATGCTTTTGCTATATCATACATCTACTTTCTGTGGCAGAAAATCAGAATTTCCTACTTAGAGCTGATATCAAAATATAACACAAAGTCATTCAGTGCCAGATTTCTTTACCTTGAAATGGTCAGATATGGGCCATTTACTATGTGCATTGTTGAATTGCCAACTAATCATCATGGTTTGTTTCCCTTCCATCATGTTGCTGATTCATTGAGAAGATACATTTTAATCAATGAGTCATTTTATTTGATTTACCGAGTTTAATCGAGTTATTGTTACGGCCGTTGGTTTTAGATGGTGTTTAGGGGGCTAAATGAAATGTTTGTAGGCTTGCATGTGAGTATGAGCTAGAAGACGTTAGTCCAATCATGACTAGCCCTGTGAAAAGCTCTACTTGTTGAAAGCTTTGCTGTCTGGTATGATTGGATAACACCTGCTCTTGCTTTGACACAGAATAACGCTCTCGAGCTTACACTGCGGTGCGACTATCGTAAGAGGAGCTCACACGCCACCCTCCTTTAAGCTATTAGACTGACTCCACTGCAAAATGGGTTTTAATTTTGTGCTAAAATGCAATTAGGACCAAAGCGGGCCTCTTTCAGCACTCAGCCCAATACAGTTAGTATTGATAAGCTCCCCCATGACTAGAGTGTTAGCATCGATCGGTCCAGAGGAAGAAACACACACAGGTGGAGGAAGCCATGCTGGACAGGAACTCTGGAAGAATTCCATCTTAAGCAGCTCTGCTGTTACTTTCCTACTCTGTCTCTGATCAAACAATGTGATCAAACCATGTAATAAAATATTTTTTTTTATCTTTTCTCACCCATTTTGACTGTGGGCATTTTAGAAAGATTATTAAAGAGATCTTTTTAGCTGATTTCTTTCATTTTGTTTTGTAGCAGTTCCTCAAATTTAGTTAATCATTGTCACATTAAAACTTAACTCAAAACCTCATTTTTTTATACCAACCGAAAATGCTAACATCTTTTTTGTGAACATTTCATGATAAATGCATCTACAAAAATGCTCCAAAATTACTTATAAAACCTCTTTATGCTAACATACATAAAAATAAAAAAAAAGGTAGACGTTTTACTCTCCTATGAAGTTTGCATTTTGGACATTTTTCAACAGTGCCAAAATTTAATTCTCACATTTCTGTTGTCTTATTTGGTGATCATATCTCATACATTTCTCTTCTCATATTTATCAGAAGAGATGAAAATTGTCAACAAGTACTCAAGTTGAATTTTTGGCTAAACTGTGAAGTAATAATTACTGAGGTAGTAGTAAAAAATATGAAGAAAATAAAAAAACAAAGTCATCTATCAGGATGTAGGAGAACGATTCTCTGGAAAAAATGAAATGCAGGGAATATGATGAATATGATTTATAAAAGAAACAGGAATAATATAGACCAACATAACTAATAAATGTACTCGAATTAGCATGTAAAGTATCTTCTATTCAAATGACTCGAACAAGTACAGGTTATTCAAAATTGTCTTTGTGTTTTTTGGTGCTTGTATGCCACAGGCCTAAGTGGCCAAATTGGCCGATTATCTGGCTTGCTTCCAAGCTGTCAATAGTACAGACTGATGACTGACACAGATTAAGCTCAAATAGACAAACAGTTCTCAATGCTGTGTTTTAAAGGTGTTACAGCACCAAGTCAGAAATAAGGAATTTAGTTGTTTTCCTAAGACTTATTATGTGTCTCAGTAGATTTGTTATAATTTTATTAACGTTTGCCTCAACCCAACAAATAAAAAAGAGCTCACATTCTGTCTGTTGAGATGTAAACATATAAAAGTGAAAGCTAACAACTTTGGACAGTAATTGCAACCATGTGATTACGTAATAATTGTGACAGGCCTAAATATAACAACCAGTAAGAGACATATTGTATGATAAATGAATTCATACTGGCCAGTCAGACCACATATAAAGATAAATCCAAAGAAAAGCAGGCTAGGTAATATGCTATAAATAGTACAGTGGGAAATGCAAAAGCATGGTGTGTTGGTTAAAGATTTTACTTCAGACTGAGGAGTAGCACGTCTGTAAACTGTGTTTTTCTTCCTGTTCTCTATAGGAGCAGCTGCCAGAGTTGTGGTCTCACTTCCAGGATCTGAACCTGGAGGCCCACATGTACGCTTCGCAGTGGTTCCTCACGCTCTTCACAGCCAAGTTCCCCCTCTGCATGGTCTTCCACATCACTGACCTGCTGCTCAGTGAGGTCCTTAAACACTTTCATTAATTCAAGTAATTAGTGCCAGGAATGCAGTTTTGGAGAAATAGAGAAGATCCAGCACAAGGATCAATGAGAGATTGTATTTGAGCTCTGTCATTTTTTTTAGATTTTAAAAACAGGTCACATATAACTTGACAGTCATCTTTCATCATCTTTCTTGTTGCACATACTGACATCCATTTTCTACTTTTTTAACTTGCCTAGTCAGGCTCCGGGGTAGGTTACTTCTGTAAAACAGAACTTAAAATCTCTTGGAGAATCACCAAAGCCTTTTTTTCTCCGACTTGGTTTATATCTTTCAAAAGAAGTGCTTTTGCCTTTCACGTTCCTCTGAGAGCTTTTTATATTTTTTGGTCTTTTCTTCAGCCGAAGTGGTTGTAGCCTGAGGCGGGACAATTAAAAGTTTTCCCAGTCTGTCTCAGTCAATGAGTCGCATGATAAGAATCTGTTAGATCTGTGTAAGGGCACCTCTCTCTCTCTGTCTCTTTCCTCTTGTCTCCGTCCATTTATTCCTCTCTTTATCTTTCATGTGTGTTATGCTCTTTCTGCTTTGAGGCTTGTTTTACTTCCTTTTGTTGCACAGATACATTTCCACCTTGATTTAACAACTTATTTATGTTTTTTTGAGGCAGGCTCTCTGGGCATTGTCTTGTGTTCTCTCAAAATACTTGTTTTTGCAGATTATTTGGATTTGTGGAGGATTCCTTCAAAAAAAAGGAAAGAGAAAGGCCTAAAAGAATTGAAGGGGAATTCCACAGATGTTTTTAAAAATTCAAAAATTCTGCATAAAAGTCCACTGTAAATAAATTCTGAATTCTGTAATGTTTCTTTGCAACAAACCATTTCACATCAAACTACTCTGAATGACTACACTTTAAAGGGTACCGAAATTCTGAAAAACTGCTGCAGTTCCCCTTTAATAGTCGTAGTCCACTTAATCTAGTGCAGAATGAAAACTCTTTAGAAAGGAAGGATGTAGGTCCAGCCATGATCCTAATAGCAAATTGACCATTTTAGTCACTTTAATGTAGAGCTGTCAAATATATATGTTTACTAGCCATTATCACAATATTAGCGTTCACAATGCTGATATCACAAAAGTCTACAGTGTGCAAATGAGCGCTCTGACCAATCAGAGAGTGTTTTTTATGTGCTTTGAACATTTTGACCAATCACCGATGTTGTTTGGCTGTCTGGATAAATCAAGGCATTTATGACAAATATAAATTATTTTAATAAATTATTATTTATTTAATAAAAACTAATGCAGGTTTATTTGTCCACATGCAGGCCCATGTATTTTGCGCCAAGACCACTCACAATATGTATTAATAAAATCATAAGAGTATTTTGTTCATATCATGCAGCTCTACTTTGACATACAGTATTGTGCAAAAGTCAGAGACCACCCTTCTTTTATTTTATGTGTAGTAAAAATGGCCATTAAGTACAAGTTACTCAATTTGCAAGAAACATTTTTGAGTTGGATTGGATATCAGATAATCCAGGGAAAAATTTACAGAAAAGAAGTGAAATAACAGGAGTTTCAAAAACTTGAAAGGAGTTCAAAAAATGATTAAAGGTTGTAGAGAAAATGAGACTGCTAACAACTGCGCAAGACCTGTTGGACCACCAAAACTATCCCCATCAGATGAGCAGCACTCAAAGCTTTCATCTTTAAGAGAGAGGAGAAAATCAGGCTGCTTCAAATCTGAAAACATCCACAGGTTTTTCTGTCCATTTTTCCGCTGTGAGAAGACGACTCAACAAGAAGCCCTCAGACAAACAGACAAAAAAGAAGAACATTTGGAAATCAAACAAAGGAGCTGCTGGTGCTCTCAGAATAATGGACTGACCACCCCAGAGTCCAGACCTCTTCATTACTGAATGTGTTTGGGAATACTTGGATCATAAAAAAGCAGAAAATGCAACCAACTTCAAAGTGTTACTACTGAAAAGCTTAATGTTGTATTTAGTTATTGAGTCTTCATGTACTTTTTTCCTGTCACTGAAAAATTAATCATTTAACTTAATGGCCATTTTCACTGAAAATTAAATAAATGAGGGGTGGTCACTGATTTTTTGCACAGTACAGTATGAGATCATGAAAGGTAAAGATGTCCTGACTAACTTCTCAACTTAATATGCAAATGACTGTTACTATGGATCTGAAAGGATGTGTAGATGTCAAGTTGCCATTACTGACAGAATAAAGAATATGTGCCCTTGAACATCAATACTGGACATCTGAGATGCGGATAAAGGTTTACTGGACTGTGAAGTCTGCATGGAATTGAGAACTGATTAATTGGATTGTGAAAAGTAGAAAAAAGCAACCAACTTCTGAACTTTGGAGGTATGCAGATTTCTCTGAAAACATGAAAGCAAAGCTTCTGAAAAGAATGGAAGCTGTAATAAAACAAAAGTGGACTTACTAAATAATGAGAAATGTGATTTTATAATTAGTTATTGAGGCTTCTGTATAATTTTTAATTAAATTTGTTTTCTGTTTTTTTTTTTCTTTTGCTAAAAAAAAATAACTTGCACTTAATGGTCGTTTTGACTGGAAATTAAATAACTGAAGGGTGGTCTCTGACTTGCGCAGTACTGTATATGTGCACTGTGGCCTGGTAGACTAGTTTATTAGCTTTCAGGTTAGCCTGTGTTTTGTCACGGATGTGTTAGGGGAATACACAGGGCTGGATCACTCCCTGCAGAACACACACACATACATGCTGCAGTGCAGACGCACAGCGATTCCCCCCACAGTTTCTGCACCAACCTCATAGCGCCATCTAGAGGCAGGTTTAACAGAGTTTTCCATCTGTGTTATTAATAGAGTGAGGGGGATATTTTTAGCGCTGTGTTGCCATGTGAACGGGTTGTCTGAGCGATGCTTGAGACGGGTGTTCCCATGCAGAGCTGACTTCAGCACTGCATCTCTGCTCTACTGTGATACCACCTGCTCCCACGCACACGCCCCATCTCAACTCCTGTCCCTCAGTTTGTGTGCTCACGTCCACCTGCCCATCACTCTGTGTCTTTGTGTGAGTGTGGTGTGTCTGTGAGAGAGTTAGAGAGATATTTGCTTCCCTTCTTTTCTCCGCCTGTCACTCTCTCTCCCTCATTGTATTGCTGTGCTATTTCTGGCCATGCAAATTCTCGCTACATAGTAACCGTCATTTGCATATTTAGTTGGGAAGTTAGTCAGGAAGTCTTCGCTTTTCATAATCTCATGCAGTACTGTGCAAAAGTCAGAGACCACCTTTCATTTATTTATTTCCAGTGAATATGGCCATTAAGTAAAATGATTAATTTTTCAGTGTCAGGAAAAAAGTACATGATGCCTCAATAACTGAATATAATATGACGTTTTTCATTACAGCTTCCATTCTTTTCAGGAGACTTGCTTTCAGTTTTTCAAAGAAATCTGCAGGGATATTTTTCCACACTTCCAAAGTTCACTCTGAGAAGTTGGTTGCATTTTCTGCTTTTCATGATCCAAGTAATCCCAATTACATTCAGTAATGAAGAAGTCTGGACTCTGGGGTGGTCAGTCCGTTGTTCTGAGAACACCAGCAGCTCCTTTATTTGATTTTCAAATTTTCTTCTTTTTTGGCTTTCTCTGTGAGGGCTTCTTGACAGCTACACATCTTTTTAGACCCAAAGCGCTGAGTTGTCTCAGGATGGACAGAAACACCTGTGGATTTTTTTCAGATCTGAAGCAGCTTGATTTTCTCCTCTCTCTCAAAGATGAAAGATGAAGTGCTGTTTATCTGTTGGGGGCAGTTCTGGTGGTCTACCAGGTCTTGCTCAGTTGTTAGTCCCATTTTCTCCATATCTTTTTACCATTTTTTTTAACTCCAGTCCCTTTTGAAAACTCTTGTTTTTCTGCTTATTTCCTTTGACTTTCCCCTTCCTGATCAAAGTGGATTATCTCATATGTAATCGTCTCAGAGATTTAGACCCTTTAGACTGGAAGTTAAATAAGTGGTGGTCTCTGCCTTCATATTTTTAAAACCATGCTTTAAAAATAGTGTTCAGAGTACTAACAGTACAGGAAGCTAACATGAGTATATATATATATATATATATATATATATATATATATATATATATATATATATATATATATATATATTTGGATATTATTTTTTAAAAGATTCATTCAGATTAGTTCTTTTTTTTCCTCTGGTATCCGATCCAGCATTTACTACTGATTGGCCCTCACTGATATTGATATGTCATATCTACCATGTAAAAACTCAAGTCTAAATGTTTATTAGAAATAATCAGCTAAGTAATCATTCAAAGCTACTGTAGTACAGCATGCTGTATCCGTATTATAAACCATAAGTCCGGTAACAGAAGAATAAGACAGCAATTCCTTTTAAATGATCAGTCAAAAGAAGCTGAAGAGATGTTCCTATCTGTTTTATAACAGTATGCATGTGTTTTTTTACACCTCTTTCTGCATCTCTCTGCAGGGCTTGAACATCATCTTCAATGTGGCGCTGGCTCTACTGAAGGTAATGCAGCACTCAGTTCTCTTTGAAATGCAGCATTATGGGCTCTGTGGAAGAAAGAGCTTAAAATGCTGGAGCTTAAAATGTACTCAAGGTTTCAAGGTTTCAAAATGTATTTGCCACATCAGTCCAACATGTGTACAGTGAAATTCCTGTCTGCAGAGGCGCCTTAATCAGTGAACAGAGACTATTGTGAGAAAACATTTCTGCAGTGTGACAGCACTCACAGTCTACAGTACAATATAAAATGCAAATCTGACCCTACGTGACACCTGATTGTACAGTTTAATGGGTTCTTTGTTTGATCATATCATTTAGCTCCTGAAAGTTGGTGAGTTTAATCAGGATTCGATGTGCTGGAGAGGAAATAAACTTTTTTAGGGGGTTGCACAGCCTACAAAAATTCAAAATCATCACCTTCCTAGAGCAGATGAATGCAATGATTGGGAGCTTGTTGAAAAAAGCATTCAAAGAGTACTCAGTCAAAACTTGGTGAAGGACGTGTCTTCTGAGGATGTGAGTGAATTATCTACTATTGTCATCATAGCTTCATCAGTATAATGTTGATTTTGCATTTGAGACCTAAACATTGAGCTGGATCTTCTTTTTGAGCCTGCGCATGTGATGTTAATACGTAAAGATGTGTGACATGGCCCGAAGAAGTCTTTTTCAGGCTTTACACGGTGACTCGTAGCAGCGCACTGACAGCATATTTAATGCTACTTCTTTCAGTGTTTACTTATATAGTGCAGCTTCAAGACTTTAAGACAGATGCTAATGGTCTCTTACTTAAACAAATGTTACTAGCCTTGTGGTGTCGTAACTTGACCTCATAATTTTAAGCCCAAAAGCTGTGTGTGAAGAGTTAGCTAGCTGATATTGATGTGATAAATTCACTAAATTGTATTGAAAGCTTTGTTCAATTAAATCTATACAAAAAATCTGTTCATTCAAGTGTAAAATGAGCTCTCACTGCAGTGCATTTGCTGCGCTTTGTATTATCTGATACCTGAAGCAACACTTCTGTGTTCATTTTTAGTAAACACACCAAAAAAATAGAAATTGTGCATTGGCAGAAACATGGCATATTTAAGTCTGCTCCCTGTAGAGGATATGTTAGCTAATATTTACTTAGACAATCAGCAAAACATGTAATTCGACCAGGGGTATCCAAAATTTTGAATACAACTGTATGTCGTGCTGCACAATGCAGTGTGTTGTCTGGCCTTTAGATAGTTGGGCCACTCAGGAGCCCTGGATAAGTATATTTTAGCCAAAAGCATCATCAAACATGCATCTAAAGCAACTCATTAATTGTTTTAAAACAACAGATTCAAAGTTCGCCCTGTTCTAAGTGCCAGGGTTGTTCATTCCAGCCTTAGTGGGATGTTTGTGTTTTCTCCATTGAGATGGAAATTATGAGAAATCAGCTTATTTCTGTCACCTGTCTAAAGAAAAGAGCTTGAACAGAAAGTCTTCATAGTTTTCGACATAAGATGAGAGGCAGGTTTATTTCTCTAGCATTTGGAAAAGAGTAGAAAGAAATCTGCTTGGTTTCATGGTTGCTGGGCGACAAAAGTACTTTGGTGAGTAACCAGGGCTTTTTGTCAAAGTGACCTCGCCAGAGCTATGCAGTGGCTATCTCAACCTCCTAAGCAGTGACAACTCAAATAAGCCACTGAGGATGTGTGGTTTTCCATGTGAAATACTCTTTTATTTCTGGAACACAGTAATTGCAGTCTTTCTTGAGCGAGTCAGTGAAAAGAAGCACCTCAGCATATGGCGTACTGATCTAGCATCTGTGTTTGCTGTTCGTTTCTGTTAGCAAGCATTTATTACCATCGTAGGTCTTTCTTTCCTCATAGATCAGGACTTTTATTCTGAGACACTTGACAGTTTCACAGAGTAGGGTACAGATTGCAGTGCTGACTGTAAGATATTGTGACTTTGAAATATTGTGTGTACTTGTGTCGCCCTCTGCTGTTCAGAAATGATACTGATTCAGCAGTTCTACCTGAGTATCTGCATAAATAAGGTCCCAAAGCTGTTACTGAATGTTATATTCACACCTCTGCAAAAAATATTTACTATAATAAGTTGACCTGCCCTAAAATTGCTTCGTCCCTCATAGATCTAGGACACTGAAAATGTTGTTTATATTATTTAAAAACCTTAGAAACTTTGAGACGAATCACTAATGGGATATCCTTGACACATTACTGTGCCAGTATTCAACAGCTTAATATTGATATGATATATGTAGATTATATTGATGCCATAGGCACGCATTGCATTGCATTTTCAATATGTAAATACATAATGTAATCGCATTTACATCGCATTATAATGTCACCTGGGCAGTGACAAAGCCTTGACTTGCTTTATGTACACTACTGTTCAAAAGTTTGGAATCACTATTTTCAGTAGGTCACTAAAATTGTTCATTATTCTGTAGTTATTAGGCACATAGTTGGAACTCGGGGTCTAAGCTTGTTTTCTCTATGAGAAAAATGGCGTTCTTGAAAACCGCTACTATCCCTTCATGTGGTTAAAACAACAATGTTCCAAATCTGATATGTTTTATTCTGTGTTCGTATTCCCCCAAGTGAATTTGTATGTTGTTTAGCAGTTGAAATAAGCATCTTACTACATACATGCTACAAGAAGGCTAACACTCCTGTGGATGAAAGCAAGTTTACTTCTAAACTTCAACACTGTTATATACCAACACCAGCTACTATGAAGATGGTTTGCGTAGGTTTTTTTGGTAGTCTAATGATATCAATTCAGTGTGCAGCAGTGTTGACTTTCGGGTAGCAACATTCACACTTTGGCTTCTTAACAACTTTGTCTGGCGATATTTGGAGGAAGGATGTACGTACAGCGAAATATATCAGCTTTGGAACATTTGTTCTCCAAGGTGGCAGTAGCAGCATTTTTTGAAAGCACTTTTATTTTTCCCTTAGAGAAATCTGCTTAGACCTGGAGTTATTAACATGGGCATGATGCCGATTGCAGAATCATGACTTTACATGACAGTTTAGTTGCACATACATGTATAAAAATGCAGTATGATGATAGTACTGAATAACTACATGGGTTACAAATATAGAAAAATATTCGTATATGATGTGTCCAGAATGTTGAACAGTGCTGTGGCTGATTGCTCTGTATTGTGTAGCTGTATAACATCTAGAATAAAGTAATAACATTAACATCCAGAATGCCTCGCATTTGAAAATTCTAGACAATTTGTTTAAGTTGTAGTATATCATCGATGTCCAAAGAATAACATGTATTTGTAAAATAGTAACTTTACAGGAGAGAGAAAAATGTTCTTTACTTTTAATGTGAGTTAATGTAACAAGGTTTTTTCCAAGTCAGTTTGGCACATTTCCATCGGTCCATTCATCATGAAATTTTCACACAGTGTAAAGGGCAGCTGCTCAAATGATGTAGAAAAATAAAAAATGATTTTTTTGACAGCGACGATATTTATTTTTTAAAGGGCTCGTGTTCTACTTTTCATGTATTTTACCACCCCCCCTCCCTCGCGTGGTCCACTTATAACATTCGTGTGGTTTTATCTGCCAAAAGCAGCTGGAATTCATTTTTATGTGACCCATTTTCTAACCTCTGTTGACTTTTTCAAACTCTTTTATATATATATAAAAAAATAAAAGGCAAGAAAAATTCAGTTTTCCATTAAATCAATATTAAACTTTAATAGACTTCTTATCACAAACCTTGAAATTTTGAATGCAACATCTAAAAATACCTTCTTGTGTTTGTTTTATTTTATTCAATTTGTAAAATTTCAGTCAACACTATACAAGTTAAGATTGAATAAGATATCAATCATTAATATCAATCATCAATATCAATCATTCCAGTCATTAACAAGTGATTCCAAACCTTTGAATGGTAGTGTAGTTTCAACAGTGGCGTTTATGATTGCCTTACTTATAGCGGATATTTCCTTTGCAAGATGCCCTGTTTCTAAAAAAGCACTGCAACAAATAGGAACCAGATGAAGTAGTCTGGGCAGGACTGATATGTCAGTGAATGTTGTGGGTTTATTGTCTCGCAGTTATTGATCCTCAGCAAATGCTACAGCAAAGCTTTGAAGCTGCAGAATGCAGTTCTGGGTCATTTCCCCTAGTAAAGCCATTACATTTGAGGCCATTAGAAGTGAAGCTTCGCTAATGATATCACATTAGGACTATCATCAGCTTGCAGGCCATAGTATTTCTTCAGTGTTTTTATTTAGCTGATGCAGTGGTGCTACAGTTTTGTAGAAGACCCTTTGCAGAATAGTGACGTACTTGCATAAGAATGTTTTATTTTTTGTTTAAGAAGAAGAATATTGAGTTAGATCCATGCAAGGTGATGTTTCTGATGAGCGCATGTTAAGTAATAAAGTATTTACATAAGTGCAAATTAGACTGCAATTACTTCCAAATGGGATGTAAATGAGAGCTTGTGTTGTTCATAATTGACTTGTTTGGCCTTAATTGAAACTAGACATCACAGAATCACCCCACTGTGATTGAGCATAAAGCAAAAGCATTTCCCTTTGGTCTAATCTGCTCCTACAGTGTAGCAATCCATTTTGAACAATGATGGTGTTGTAGTTGCATTAAAGGGCCGACATGTTTCCTCCTTTTTGGTTGGCAAACAGTTTCAGATTTGATTGCATTAAACCTTTTCCTGTTACAATACTGTTTCTGTTCTCAGTGTCAATACAGCTTTCAATTTTCCCATAAAGCCACACCTTTATGTTACTTGCCTGAGTCAGAGTGGGGGGAAATGTGCAGGCTATAAGTCATTGGTGCACTATTCTGAAGAACACAAGGAAACAGTCATATCACCTTATTTACTATTGAGAAACAGATTCCACCGTTATTCCTCCCTAATTACTGCGCACCCATGAGGGAGATAGCATGCCTTCTGCTTTTCATTAAAACAGCCCATTCAGATGAAGGCTATAAAGTGGCCTTGTG